CACTCTCGTTGTGCACTGAACGCCAGACACTATATCTAACCTCTTTTCGCTCTTCCCTTGCTCTCTGTCGTGCCTTTCATACCCTCTGGCTTTTCTTTGTCTTCATTTTCACCCTTTCGTATCTTCCCTGTGAGCTTTAATCTGCTTCTGTTTGCTCCCCTTGCTTTCCTCTTTCCTCCCTCTGACACCATTCTATGCTCTTCACGCTCATCACGCAGCCACACCCTGCACTCCTTCATGCCCTAGCCGAGATAAGGTGGTTTGACAGAAGTCAAAACGCCTGAACATGCATATGATGGCAACATGAGCGGCCTTAACTGTCATGAGCTGGTTAACGAGTTGGAGCGTTGCGACCACCACCCGAGTGGCCGCTGTTTACATCTTCGTTCGCGAACTTATCCACATCTGCCTAACCGTCCATGACAATCCTTCCGAGGAAATCCCTTTGTTCTCGTCACCACGAAAGGGCTGCCAAACACCGATCGCGAAGATGCTAGATGCAGGAGACAGAATGCGACGTCACTGCCATATTTCTACGGAGGCCTTCGCCCGTTACCTGCGATCGTGCGACGTCCACGCAAGCTTGGGGTGGCTCCACGATTTACACACAGTAGTGGCGACATCGGTGGTAGCAGATGTGCTTCGCTTCCTCCTTCTAGACGCCGTTGCTTTCAGCTGCATCACATTCCGGACCGACTATCATCGGGTACTGTATACTGCAGGAACTCAGTATCTCTGCAATCCCTATCAGGCGAGCTGCCGTTACTATTATGCTTACGTTGGGCCTGATTCGTCCTTTCTGATGCTCTCAGGTACCACTCATGCGTTAAACCATTGGAAGGCGACCTCAATCCCATATCGCAGTTGCAGCTTTCAGAAGGAGCCACCATATCATGATGCGCTGTGTTGAGGGATTCGTTGTGCAGACATACCCGCATCCCGATCGGCTTGACAGCTTCTGCAACCTGATGGGGCGCACTGGCGCACACTGGACTACGTCCACTTCAGCCGAACCAGGGAAGCTTCATCACGAAGCCGAACGAAAACGTCCCCGCAATCACGTCGTCAATGCAGCACATGAGCTAACTTCTCATGTTCCAGAGACACCCACGTGAATCTCTCCCCTTCCCGCGCGCTAGCGGGTACCGATCTTACGCTAACCCCAACTTGGTCACCACTCGTGCTTCTCCACTCACCGTATTGATAGCACGCAGAGGAAGAAGCGACTGCAGATTTGCGGATGCTCCCGAGTAATGCTCTCCACAAGATCTGCTTTGCTGTATACAGCGTAGATGCCGACGCAATGAAGGTGGAAGTGAAAGTGAGAGTGAAGATGACATGTCGACTTGCGCTCTCTCGACGCGTCGCGGTGAGCGTTTGCTGCATGGCTACCTGCATACGAAGTGACGCGCACTACGCACGACACATAAACAGAAAATTCCCCTGAGCTGCGCGTGCAAAGACCTTGACACTTTCCCTCTCTTTGCAATCCGGCCGACCGCACCTTGGAATCCAACGCCGCCCAGTCAACCCTCAACACACGCCTGACTATGGCGGACGAGACACCCACACAGGGTAGGAGCAATGGAGGTAAGTGTCGGATCAGCAATGCTCGGCAATACTGCTCATGCTGACCTGTCCACAGACCGCTACAAACCACTGACACCGAGTCCGAGCCCGCAACCTGCGCCTGCTACTGCCGCATCTCACCCCATACCACCAGTCGCGACGTCTTCCGATCTCCCAGCGGGCCCACAACTGCTGCCGCTCAACCGTTCCATGCCCAAAGGCGGATATTTGGATTTGTCTGGGTCACTTCTCTACCCCATGGCGGACCCGCTCACCCAACTCAACATACCGGAGGCGTCGAGCTCCTCGGCAACAACCTGGGATCATACCACCTTTCTCGTCAAAACCCCAGTACCCCACCAGAACCTTGTGTTGCCGGAAGATGATCTCAACATTGATCTTGGCGAAGACGATCCAATTGACACTGTCGAAAGTGGTGGCGATCTAGGTGTAAAGAGGAAGAGACAAGATGACGACGAGGAGGGAGACCAGAGCTTCGATGAGGCGATAGGCAAAAAGATCATGGAAGGGGAAAACACAGATGATAAGGATGAAGTTGTTGGTACGAGCAAAGAAAGCGCCACGACAGTGGCCAAAGGAGAGGGGACTGGAGGAGGGAAAGATGACTTGGGCGGTACGGGTGATGAGAAGCCCCGGCGGGATGTCACGGAAGAAGGCACCGAGGAAGTGGTAGGAGAGAACGATGCAGAGGGTCAGAAAGAGGTCGATGGCCTACTACTCCAGGCGCTAGATGAGATGGTGGAAGAACCGGAAAAGGAAGTGGCCGACGAGGGAGGAGCTGCGAAGTCGCCTCTGGAAGGGCCAGGAACACTTCTCGACCCACGTCGTTACCCAGAGGCTGCTGGAAATGGCTCCAATGTCGTCGCAGACAGGGCAGCCACTACAGCGACCGTACCGGACGTACTGCTTCCGAGCGTTCATGTCAACGAGATCAACAGCGGCGAGGCGAACCTTCGGGGTTTCCTCCAGGGATGGCGCGAGGAGCTGGCAGAGGAGGTAAAAAGCACAACAGCTACATCATCCGCGCCGGGGAACGAGATGGCATCGGCTGCGGCATCGGAGGGTTCGGTTCGTGACAATGGTTCTCGTGGGGGCTATGCCACCCAAGGACCGGTGATGAAGAAGGCTAAGAAGGAGTAAGGTTTCGTATGTTGGGCCAGACTGTCGCATTGGTGGAAACTTTGTATAATTTTGTAGGATCGTGTGAATTGGTGGATCTAATGAGAACGCGGCGAAGGTAGTCATCGGTAGTCTAATACATGGTACAATCTCTTCTCACTGTGGCCATCTCACATGCCAGAAGATTTGCATGACATGCATGTCGGTTTCTGGTGTTATTCCGTTGCATTGCTCACCATGTCGCGGCATATCGCTTGTCTGTGATATGTCTCCGTGCGGATCAATACCTAGGTACCGTCGACAAAATGGAGCCAGTGCCCCTTAATGATGGCGTCGAGTCTGCAAGGCCGCAAGGCCGGCTAAGATCGGCTGAAACGTGAAGGAAATACCGGTGCGAGGACTTTACGTTGATGCATCAGCTGCTAGATAATTCGGATGAGGCGCGCGTGGATGAACCTTTGCCGCAGAGATGCGGACATGTCACTCACGTAGCTGCGGGCCGTTTGATGTTTGAGCAGACCTCGGGAGGGTGGTGGGCCGGATCCAGTTAGGGCCGCGCTAGAGATCTCCGAGAGCTCCGATTGGGTAGGTTGAGTCCTGCCGCTCGATACTCCGCCTCAGCATGTTGTCTCCATGACCATGGCTCACGCTGCTCTTCACCGCTTGAGCGCAGTATGAACGCCATTCCCCATACCCTATTGATAGCTATGAGATCTTTGCGGTCCCCAACGCCTGACTGCGAGGTTGCAGTGTCCGACACTTTAGCCCCGGCAACATGTTCAACATCAACAACACTTGTCTCTTGAACACCGGCATCGAATTGGCGTTGCTATATTGCACACCTTCTTGGACAACAAGTTGGCGTACACGGGGCCTTTCCCTGCTTTCTCTCAAGCGGCACTCTTGCTTCTCGTCTTTCGAACGCCCCCTTGGCACCCAATCTTCTGCTCTGGGTGACGACATCATCACGCCAACATGACTGTGGTGGTTTCAACAAAACGATTTACTTCGCCCGCCGCTCTCGAGCTCGAAACTGGCGTGAGTGGCCACACAGCGCTGCCCGCCCCGTTCGTACATTGAGCGCCAACACTTCCACCGTGGGTACCCGGGCGCGCAAAAGCCGGCTCGCAAAAGACCGCTTACGACGAACACGCTGCGCAAAGCTTGGATAGTCTGGACGCGAAGGAAGATGCTCCACCCCGTAAGTACATGTCTTGCGTCAACGACGCTGCAAGATTGCTGACATGGTGTAGGCGACAAACTGCTACCGCGACTGAAGCACCTTTCAAGCCTACACAGACATCCGCGCGCTCGACGATCGCACTGTACTACTCCAACGTTCGACACGTTCCTTCAACCTGCAGACAATCAGGACGGCGCGGGGAGAGGATGTCTCGATCACATTGCTTCCACGGAAGATGGCATGCGCCATGGACATGGGTCTGGCGACAACAAGATGGCCGAAACGCCTTCAGCAATCACGACAGATTGGAGTCGGGACGACCACCATTTCTTTCTGAAGATCGCGCTTCCCACCGTAGCGGAAGTGCCAGCCCTGCTTGATTCTTGTGTACATGGACTGTCTTATGCTTCATGGAGGGGCTGTGGTCAGTTGCGGGTGTGGGTCGGGCGCGCGAACAACATCTCGACAGCAGACTTTCTGCGGTCATCGAGAAGGGAGTGTCGCAATCGTTCCGCGGCTTATCGCATCCCGCTCCATGCAGATTGTTGCGATTGCGGGGGGGCGATCGAGCGTCAAGGGCAGCTGAGCTGTGACAGGAGGAAGTTGAGATATTGTGAGCACATTCTCTTCTACTCGGTAGCTTGAAAGACCATGGGAAAACATTCCGCGATCCTATTGAGCACTGCAAGCTTCTGGATTATCGACCAAGGTCTTGAATCGTTGTCATGGCCTTTTGACGCAGGCACGTGTTCGACTTGCCGCATGAATTGCCGCTACCTAGGTACTATCGCGATGCGCCACCAACGCCCCGCACCTTGTCGCCGAATCTTAGGCGCTGCTGTTGCCTGGCACCATGTCCTCATCACCAACACTGAATGCACCACCCACCAATAATCGTCTCTCTGCACACGCACTGATGAAAATCGGCCCGCGTCGTCAATATAAGTGTCCCATTTCGAGATTACTGCCTTGCTGCTTAGTGCCTTGCGCGAACAGGCTAATATCGCGAAACCATCGCGCAGTCACGCCCGCGCTGCTGCCGACCGCACGCTTTTTGTACATATAGCGCTCGTTTGTCTTTCCCTAGTCTCTAGTACCACAGGTCACCATGGAACTGCCCGATGAGCTTTACCTCGAGATCTTCTCACATTTGCCCCAGCACCACCTGCGCTCAGTATCTCAAACATGTCGCGCTTTTGCGACCATTGTGAGGCCGCTGATGTTCGCCACCATTCATCTAGATGGCTCCCCCCAGAGCAGATTTGGCAGGATGGAGAATGATGAGTGTGTCATGTACCCGGGTCGTTCACGCACGGTAGAGTTGGTTTCTTTGGAAAGTACCGTGAATGAGCTCATTGCGCACGACATTGCGCGGCATGTTCGGAAGCTCAAGTTCAGTCCCAAATATTACGTAGATGGTAAGTTCAGCCGATGGATTTCTATCCAAAGCCAGGCGGATACTGACCGGTCTCCCAGGGTTCTGGTCGAGATATCGCCATTGGCTAGAGCGTGAGCAAGATTACGAGGAAGACTTTCATCGAATGTATGATGAAGAAGACTTTGAGACAGACTCTGAAGGTGAGTATGCCGGAATGCGTCGTCTCGCCGCGGAACGACTAGCAAGGCCCGGTAAAGAGCGCGAATTGATCGAGCAGGCGGAAGCGATCTGGGGCGCCAAGGTGGAGGAGCAGCGCGAGAGGGCAGACGCGATTCTAGCAGCCATGGTCAAGCTCTTCGCACATATGCCGTGTCTGAAAGCTATCGAAGTCCTAGAGTGGCGTTGTGACTTGGGTGATTATGGATTTGAAGAAGGCGGCGAGTGAGTATGGCCACATGATTGCATGACACCAAACTAACGCAAACAGCGATGAAGTGGACGAGCAGTTCTCTGGATGCGGCACGACCTGGAAGCACCTTGAACTCCTCAGCTCCGCCGTCCAAGCGTCGAACAGCCGCATCCAGAGTCTGGTTCTCCCCAAGATTGATCCATCTTCAATCACGACAAGTGCCGCCTTGGAACACATGTTCAGCTCTCTCACTGCACTTTCTTTCAACGCCGAAAGTGTGGACTTCATGCTTGACTCATACAGCAAGGAAGCTGAATTCCTCACTGCCTTGATTCGTTGCTCATCGGAGACGTTACAAACATTCGAGTTCCGCAACATGACTACATCACATCCCCAACTACCGGATGTGGGCGAGCATAAAATCGCAAGGCTCTTTGGTAGCGTCAGTACCACCGACTCAACAGACATCATACCGCTAGTCTTTCCGGCCTTGACAACTTTGAAGCTACGAAGTTTGGTCCTGGACACACCGTCTCTCATCACATTTCTCTCCCGACAACCGCAATTGCGATATGCTCGCTTCGACTACATCTATCTCGCTACCATAGGGTACAGATGGAGCGATGTCGCCGAAAAACTGCCGTCATCGTGCAACCGACTATATATTGGTAACAGTGGGCACGAAAAGTGGGGGCCAGACTCGCCCGCAGCGTACAACCACATCAAGAAATTCTTACCGTTTCAAGACGATATGCCGGCTACATCAGGTTGGCGACTCAATGATGCCGCTTTTCAAAACGAGATGGATGATGAGATTCAACGAAATATGGATGGCGGAATGAGGTTTTTGCCACAGGAACGCTGGTTTCAGGGCAAAACCAAAGAGGAATGGGTGGACATGATGCGAATGGCCAGTGAGCATGCAGAGTTTGAGAGAACTTGAGTAGTTTTCCAGGCAAGGGGCCTAGCTCTTCCAAACACAAAGCACCCAGTGTTTTTGTTGCGAGATGATCAGCATCGATACGAGTGAACGATACAGACGTAATGAAGTTGGCAACATGTCAAATTGACGAGATTTTGGCAAATTCACATCACAACTCCTTGCTATAGCACGACTATCGTCATAAACGGTCTTGTTGCAAAGGAACTTTACGCAGGCACTAGAGACACGCTCGCACCTGACCTATGTCGATAAGGAAACGATTACGTCCCTGATCCTTCAACTGGTCCTCTCCCCTTGGCGTTGCGACTGCTGCTTTACGAATTAGAACCGCGGCCTCACACTGGTCCTCATATGCTTGATTTGCACCGAGCTAGTCGTACCCCCGAGCATACGTCGCCGGCGCTTCGTGAACAGATCCGATCGGCGAGGAGACAATTGAGGGGCGGAACTCGCGATCGCCAGCAGGCTCGTAAATTGAAGGATGTGCTGATGGCGACGTAGCGTCATGATCCAGAAGGGAGGATGACGTACTATTGGTTACCGGCTTCGAGGGGCTGATGGGATGATGAACGCGTTGCGCCGGCAGAATGTATTGTTGCGTGAACGATGTCGTACAGTCAAACGACTGATTATTGACTTGACCGCGCTTCGCAGTTCGAATCGGTATGGATATCGGTACGACTGGTGACTCTGGTGCAGATATCTGACGTCGTGTTGTGCGGCGATCAGGGGTGGAAGCTGGGGTATGCAAAGGCGCTAATCTCCTCACCCGTCGTGATGACCTGGAGCGAGTCGAGACGGTCGACGGTAGCGTTTCGTATATGCGATACAGCGGTGGTGTAAGACGACTCGTTATGTGATCTCTCACGTAGTTCTCATTATCTTCCCACAAGGGATCGGCAGCATTGAATGCGAAAGGAGTGGCGGCGCGGCGATACGCAGGTACCATCCCCGCATTCGCGAGGTTGGTCATTTCGCGCAGCGGGACGCGTGCACCCTTGTTTTGCGGCAACGGTCTCCGGATATTCGTCGTGGAGTTGTCGGCGTAGATGACGAAGTCGGGTTTGTGCCTTCTCTCTCTGCGAGGTGTTCGTAGATAACGTTGTGGATTTGAGATTGCGCAATTGATGGTGGTTGATGTGGGATCTGGGGTGGTTACAGGGTGATGTTGCGCAGACGCCTGCATTGTGATGGTAGCGGTGGTGCTCATGATGTTGCCAGAGGTTTTGGTGACGACATGAGTAGTAGAAGCTTAAGTAGTCACAATCAGCGTCGCATGTGGCATATGATTGGTCCTTTCTGGTATCTTTCCAGGTCACTTTGGAATGCCCAGAATGAAAGACCAAAGGTGAAGGGGACGGTTTCGGGCCTGGTCCATCCTCTCGCGCTGAACCAGAAGCCCTTTTTGAGATCTTGATTCACCTGCACATCGAAGTCTCCGTAGTGCCCCTCTTGAGCCATGTCTCATTCCCATTGTGTTCAAGGCGCCCGATGTGGACGCTAGTGCATCCGTGAAAGACCTACATATCTGATACAAGGCAGAAACTAGACGGCCCTGCAGCTTACAATGGACAGCGAAGAGCAAATTGTAAGCCTTAATAAGGCACATACGTGGCAACGCAGCGGAAATATGAATGTATCCACGGACTAGTGCTGCCCAGTCGTATGGTTGTAAGCCTCGTCTCCTCGCTGCAGACTCGCGCGTCTTGTTGCATGTGCTTCGTCAGATCAGGGGGCAGATAAGCTGGATGTCGCATCGTTGGAGCATCGCTATTGAGAACCGGGGATCGATGACAGTTTGAGCGTGTTCAAAACATCTTGGAAAGGACACGGCGTGAGCTTCGCTGAAGATCGTGGGATAACGTTGAAGATGCAGCTGACGACTGACGCCACGCTAATGCGCGCCTGGAAAAGCACGGGTGCCCGGGTGCCCGGGTTCGCTTCGGCAATTAAGTGGGTCGCGCGCTGCTACCCCGGTCATGGCTGAGCCACATGATGGCGTTCAACACATCACCGAGATTCACGCGCTTCAGCCTGAGCAGTAGCGACAACGAAGTTGCTTTGTCAGAACACTTTGTCAAAGCAATTGATACGGATGGCAGACGGTCTGTATTCTGATCATTGAGGAACATGTGACGACTTTGGGCCTTCTGTTGACGATGGCGGATGTGGCGTTCGCACGCGCTGAAACCTCACCCGAATATGAGCCCGACAACTTTGTAACCGCCTGTGGGGGGCTTTCCTGTTTCGCATTCTGGGTCTATGCGATCGTGTTCGCTCTGCACAAAGACATCAGATCCTCCGATCCATCGAGAGTGACTTTGACAAGCACTGCGCATGTACAGGTGGTGTAGGGGGTCGATTCAGTGAGAACCAGTGGATATTGGGGACGACTGTACAGGTGGCTGTAGCGACTCAGAATTTGCGTCGCTGCGACGACAATGCGAGACATTAGGAGCAAATGCTCTGGGAATACAGGTACGTAACGACTACGGTACAGCATAATGCATGCCACGTGCCCTTTGCAATCGTTGATAACGTAGACAGTCTGCAAAGAACGACGATGCTGGTCTGGCCCGTTACCTGACTGCTTTGAGCATCTATCGGATTTGACAGTACTTCCATCGCGCCGGCAAGCCAGATATTCGCCCATGAACACGATAGCTGCGATGAAAGGCTCCTGCAAAGGACGACGGTGTTGGTGCACCCAGTCCAGCTGGGTGTGGAGCAGCGCAGCAATGCCCGCGTTCGTCCCCGATCGTCTCGACGCTTTGATGAAAGCTTCTAGGTTCAGTGCCGGCTAGAACCTCCCGACTTCGGCCACTTCGTCTCCGTGAGATCGTATCGTAGTTCGAGGATACGGCCGAGTTCTTCATTTCCCAGATTGTCGGCGCTTCACTGATGACCGTCTCGCCTGTGGCACATAAACGAAGGTGGAGCAAATAGGTTGGTACGAAACCCACACTTTGGCGTCATGTGTTGCAAGCATTCCGTAAACAATCAAACGATATTGATTCCTATAGAAAATATAGGAGACCGTTCAGCAATGAGTCCAGTCCCCTTCTAAACTAATCACTTGGCCAGCGTATAGCAGCCATCGTTCCCAAGCTGAAACTGGCTTTCTGATAGGTACAGCGTCGTGCCTGTCGCATGATTGAACGAGGCTTCGTTCACATGGTTGTTGTCGTCGTCGACCTCCTCCACGCACGTTGGGCCCTCCAATAGGCTCTCTGTCGCATGTATATCGTTTGACATATCGGGATAGGCGAACTGCTGCAATCTGCGTTAACATTGACTCATGATGGGAGAAGGAGATGCCAGCTGACTGTGCTATGACTTACTGAAACGTCTTGGTCCGGCAAGATGGATGAGGAGGGCCACGGTTGGTTCCAGGACGGGCGTCGTGCGCACTGGACATCTGATAACACGGAAGACGAGCGCTTGCGCTTTTTCGGCGGAATCGAAGGCAATTCGAAGAACTGAGATAGCCCTGACGATTCGTATTCTCGGTTCGAACATGGGGCTGCGCGCTCCTCCGGTGATAGTAAAGAAGAACTCAAAAGCTCAGGTATGAACCCACTGCTGACATCGTTGAGCCACAGGCTTATGGAAGTGGCGTTGTCCGATGGAGGACACATATCGTGAGTTGAGTTCATAGCCGCTTGCGTTGGCAACATTGGAGTCCACTCCAGTAAAGATGGCGGTGCGGAAAGGCATTCTGGTGTGGGGTCATCCCAATTGGTCACATCGCCGCCACCGAACTCAGGGCCGTTGGACATGTCTTGGAGCCAGGCCAGTGACAGCGGTTCATCAACCACAGTGGATTGTTGCGCAAAGCTGAGAGTGGGAGAACCAGCAGCAACACGACGACTGGTGAATATGGAAGGGATACGAATTGGGTGCGCTCTTCGTGTTGTTGTAGCTGCGATAAAACTACCAAAGTCTTTTGTCTCCAACGAAATGGCATTCTTGTTCGGTTCTGTCACCCGCATGGAAGGGTTTCGTGAGCTTCGAGGGCACCGGGGTGGTTGTTGTCCAAGGAGAACTTGTCTTTGGCCGAGTCGGTAGTCTGCATCATCATCAGACTGATCGCTGCTGCGATGTCATCGAATTCTTCAGTGTCGGTTTGCGGACTGGTGGAAGGTTTCGCGGGCTCCATTGTCTGCATGGAACGGCTGCTCGTAGCGGGCGCAAAAGGGCCAAGGGCAGCAAGATCCATGAGATTTTTCGTAGCTGTATCGGCGATGGGGTGGACTGGCAATGTCGAGGGTTGCTCTACGGGGTCGCTGGTCAACGCAGGCGAGAGTTGACCCTTCAGGAGCTTGGGGACTAACGCTACATCAGTCCCGATGTGGGTCTATATACTTATACTTTTCAAGTATCCAGATCAAGGCCAGCGATGTTCACGGCACGGTATTGCCTTGGTCGTGGCGCTAGATCGTGAGACGGTCATGACTAGCGTGTGTGTTCACACTTGACCCCCATGCGCGCAAGCGAAGTCCCGATGTCAGCCAAAGACATGGCCGTCGTCATGATAACAAAGAACTTTCGACCAAATGCGTTCACATCGTACCAGCGCTGGGGCAGGCAGAACATGGTTTTCGACCCAGGCTGAGGTCGGGTTTCATCTCGCGCGGCGATATCAAATTGACTCCAGATCTCGCGCGGCTCAAAATTGTGGTAGTCTGATGGCCGTCGCCGTGTCATCGGTCTGTGGTAAGCAAACTATGCGTACACATACCGGTTGGTACATGCATTCTGATCGGTTGCGATTTTCGAGCGAATCCAATCTCTCAACTGGAAAGAAGGTCAAGAAGAAGGTAAAGATGGGAAAATAAGACAAAAGAGAAGGAAAGACAATACGAAGGAGACCCGTTCAAGGCGACTGCAACAGGGTGCAGCTACTGGTGACGTTGACCACCGCCGATTCGAGGACAGTGAAGACGTACCCACTCAGCCTGTGCGTGATACAACTTGCAGAGACCAGCGTGAAAGCTCGCTTCATAATCTCGGGCAAAGTGACCACATTCCTCGTTCAAGTAGCGGTCTACCTGGTTGCGCAGCGCCTTGTTGGCTAATCCGGAATGCGGGTAGGGCACTGAGAACCCAACATCACCAGCAGAGGTAGCGAAGTCTGTGCGCAGAGGCTCGCCGAATCCGCTCATCCAGAAGATTAGATCGCCTTCCTTGAGAAGCCAGTCGGGTGCCGTCACCCCAAACTTCTGGCAGTATTCCGACATTGCGGGATTGGCTGGCGGAGTTGACCCGTGGCCATCGCTGCTGACTTTGATCCCGGGACGGTGATGGATTGTCGATGTCTGGATGGCGTCGTGCAGAAGTAAAAACATTTTCTGATTTAACTGCCCAAGGAGAAATTGACGTGTGTGAATTGTCTGGAGGCCGGAGTGTTTGCCAGGTGCATGCACAAGTTGCACACGGATGGGGGTATCGGGACGAGGAAAGTCCACAGGCCACGACCACTCGCGACGCATCTCGATCTGGAGTAAGCCATGCACATCCATTTCGACGTTGCGCAGGGTCGTCGTAGGGGTGAGCTGAAAGGTAACAGAAATGCTCAGATGCCTGTTACGTAACAATGCCCAGTGCAAACAGTCGAAGCGATCGGGACCTCCGGCATCTTCGCGTACATAGCGAAGGAGGTCCCAGAAACCCGACTTATCCTTAGAGATGGTTTTCATCGGAAGGCGCACCGTTACTGGCTCGGCCAGCATTGTGATGGAGGATAGCGCCTTCAGCCGAAAGGAGCGATTCAGAGCGAGCAAGGCGTGTAGGTGCTCGAGACCACGTATCCGGCGCATACCAAGGTCTACTTCAATTACCGAAGACGGCTCTTTCGCAGCCGCCATGTACGCCGAGACGATGCGACCTTGTACGCTGAAGGGAAGATCCGCCAATCTCGCCTGGCTTTTCTTTGCTGGGTGTCTGACGAGATCAGGGAGAGAACGAAGCTCCGCAGGGAGGCATTCGATGGACATGGCACATGCACCTGTTGGCGTAAGACACTCGATGGAGCTCACGAGCCCTTCTGTTGAGCTCTTGAATCGAAGAAGGCAAGTGCCAGATGAAGAGATTTGGACGCTAGCAAGCAGCTTTCGTGGTGTAGTCAGAGCGACTGGTCCATAGGCAATAGCAGCAAAGGCGGCGTCTGCTGCACAAAGCGCGTCCGAGCGGTCTACATCGAGATCATTGGCATGATGCTGGTGGGCAAGAGCGTACTCGATGTGACACCGGTCCAAGCGAAGTTCCCAGAGCGCGCGCAGCAGAGGTAGGACCTCGAAAAGTCGTGCGTTTGATGTGGTAGCCGGATGAAACGATTGCAGCTCGTTCAGGTCGCGACCGCGGTGAACGACGTGTACGGTTAGGTGGCGAAGATGCCTTGCTTGTGATCCCAGTCCCAAGAGCCAACTCGTTGTGTGGTTTAAGGCAGATAGCCATGTGGAACCCGATGCGGTCGCGGCAAGGAAACGGTTGCGGGTGTACAAGATGCCGACAGCTTCATGATAGATTTGCCGGCATGTCGAAAGTAGCGCTACTGGAGGTACAGAATTCTGAGATTCATGCGCAGATAGCGGGACAGAGAGTGCTATCGGCTGCTCAAATTCGAAGAGCAGCTCGTATACTATGTTTCGTGCCTCACCCGAGAGGTTGAGAAAGCTAGGTGCCTGACAATCGATCGGATGCGCCGTGACTTCGGGTATTGACACTGTATCTGCCGGAGGTCCCAGTGACAATCGCGGATACGCAGGCATGTTTCTAAATGTGGAGATGCAGTACTATCGATATGTAACAGTACTCCAAGGGATGGGAACCGTGGAGGTAGAGAGGCGAGGGGTTTGTAGAGGCACCGAGCGTGCAGAAGAAGAGACAATACCCGATCGTCGGTGGTCGGCTGCGGCTTGTTGATGCTTGCGCGCTGATACGCATCGATGTCGATGGCGGAAGCGGTCGGCGCCGGCACTGCTACAGTGATTATTGTTAGTACTTCTCATTGACTGGTCGCATTGTAACAGGCAATGCTTAATGTGTCTGACGGATGCGTTTACAGCACCAGACAGGACTTGGAAACTCTCGTAGGCTCACCAGAAGGGCGTGAATCGTCTGGAAGCCAAACAAACGCTGTTGAATAGTAATCCGAGAGTGTGGAGAAAGCGACACAGTATATGAGACGATATAGGCCGTGCGAATCGCGGGCTCACAGAAAGAAAGGAATGGTCGAGGAGATGACGGATCTGCTTGCTTGATGAGCGCACCGGTGCCAAGATGCCATTGCGTGGTTGAGACTGAAACATGCAGCTGGCCATCAGTCGTGCAACATGGGAAGTGAAAAGCGACAGGTAGCGGGGTGAAGGCACTGCTCTATCCACAAGCGAGGCGCAAAAATACCTGTCCTTCTGATGGAATGAACATGGTATGAGTTTGTAGATTCGATCCGAATATTTGGTGACATAACGATCGCATCATCTGCGTTGTGGCCTGCAACCCAGCCGCGTGCTCGTGGCATTGCATGAAAAGTGGAATGACTAGGCGATGTTCTTTGAGGAGGTGTCGGATGTAGTTCAGTGTGTAAGGCGTATCAGAGGGTGCACGGGTCGAGACCAGATAACTGGATGGTTCATGGCCATTGTGAAGAAGAGGACAGCACTGCACCTGGGGGTGGCGAAGGGTCAGCGCTTGGTCATACAAGGTGAAAGACCTGTCGCACTCCAACACATTTGCAGGAAAAGATGGGTTTGGCGCGAAGGTGGAGAGAATCTTCTGTGGTAATTGAGATGGGGAGGGCGAGGTGGTTGGCGATGATGACGATGGCCGCGGGGGTCTGTGCGCCGTGCCAAGCAGACTTTCCACCATCCCCCACGTGGCCGACCGAAAGCCGCACTAGTAGGCTGCCCAGGTGTCTCTGCACCGCATTGCCCTCTACCATTGCCACCAGCGGTCCTTCGTTCCGGAACCTCAACAGCGGTATCGCGTATCACGTCATCTGCTGGTCAACCCATTCACGCCCACTGAACCGGCATGCCCACATCGCACTCGGCCATGGCTGCGCGGCCGAGGTCACCAGATGCCCACTTGGCATGTCCGTCACCAAGGAAGGGCGGCATGTCGCCGATGGCACGCACATTTGATCAGGGGCAGCTACTGGCTTACGCGATTACAGACATGAACGAGGCCCAACTTGCACCGCAGGGAAACATGCTCTCGTGCTCCAGTCACGTCACAGAGCCTTCTCAACGCCATACAACCTATCTTCAGCCACTCTCGACCGCCTCCGACCGCCTCCAACAATCGATACAGCCCCTATACGCGCGGGAGAAGACGCAAGCGGCTCGTTTGCGTGTCACTGCAACCAAGGCACCATCTGGTGGACCCGCAGTGAGCGGATGATGCGACAGCTCCAAGTAACGGCAGCTCGACAATGCACACACAATGTCACCGGCGCATCTCACTCACTGCTCCTTAAGCATTTCTCGACGTTATCAATCGACGCTATACCAAACAGCCGACGGAGTTTGAGCGATCGTGCAGACTACAAGAACACATAATGGAGCGAGGACTGTCCCCGTTCCGTTCGAGGCGTGTGATAGCCTCGCATACTCTCCTTCGCTCATGCGCGCGGGGTCAGAGCTACTGCTGTTCATCAACTCAGCGCTCTGTGGACCTCGGTCAGTACCCCATTGAAGTACCTGGCTTGCTTGGTACCTGGGGGGGGAAGAATTTCGAAGTCATAAACGCCTCTACCGTCAAGAGGCTGAACAGTTGCGCTCCCGTCTGCATGAGTAGCAAAACACAAGTCGTGAGGATTCTGAATGCGATGTCGACGTGAGCGTCTGGGAATTTGGAACTGCGGTCATGGGTGCGCTCTGCGCCGCATATACCGTTCACGCCTCGTTGTACATGACGAGAAAGTAGATATCGCACGTAAGAGGCTTTTCCGTGTGCACTACGCGAAGTTCTAGGCTATCGCATGAATCATCTCGGCAAAGATTCAAGCCGATGTACCTCCGTCCTTGCAACACCGCGCGCTTGCAGCACTCAGCCTCTACACGACATTGCCCATCATCGAGTGCCTTCACGACTGGACCTATCTAGCCTGCCGCGTTTGATCAAGCTTGATTGCTGTGATCTCGTCCTCGTGCTAGACTATAGATTGGACTTTCTCCAGCTGAGTTTGCCCACTCTATCCCTCTGCTCCTTCGCTGCTATCTTGATTGCTTCAAGCGCCCGACCCTGAACGTGGTGGAGAATTCTGGAGAAGCGGGCTTAACGCGTGGAAAGTGCGACACTTCCGCGAAGTCGAATACGCCTCGCTGGATCTCAAAACAGCTTGGGCAGGATAAAATTACGTCCTGGGATTGCCTGGATATGGCTAATCATGCTGCAGACGGTAGGGCGATGTAAAAAACAATCCACCGCCCCAAAATGGAGGCGTGCTGA